GAGGGGTTTATGCAATCCTTCAGGGACTCAGAGCGATTGCCCTTTTGCCAACTTCAATGTGGTTTCCAAGGTCACATGGGAATTGAAATCCATAAAACGAATTCTGTGAAATTCACAGAATGAAAGAGGAGATGTGGGCATCGGTAAGAACTCAGTCATACAGCCACACCTAAAGAAAATGCAGTCAAGTTTGGTTTCACGGAAGAAAGGAAAGTATAGATGTTGGCAAACAGCCAGTCATCTTCACCAGATCCAGGATGTATAATGACGTTGGAGACTTCAGGTATGAACAGCTGGTAACATTTTAAGATTATCTGTTACTATGATTTTTGTGCAAAGTAGCATCAATCCTTGGACTTTTGGGGGCTTATCATTAGTCTTTGGTGCAAGCCAAAACACTTTGTAAAGAAGAGGTAAAATGCTGTCAGTTTATCCTCTACTTTTCACCTGGCTTCACTTTGAAATTGGAGATTACCAATGCCCCCTATAATGACTCTCTTCTCTATCTACTTGTTTTCATTTCAACGGTTACCATTTTCATCCTGGGTCTCACAACTTCACACGCAGATTATATTAACAGACTCCTAGCTGTTCTGCCTCAATTCAGTTTCATGCCAGCACATTCTTCAAAATTAACTTAACAAAATTAATCTCCCCAAAACACTGATTCTTCACTTCTCTTTTCTTTCCCCAAATAACATGGTACCTGATGTCTTACTGAATCAAACATAAAGCCACCCACTTTTCTCCTTTAAATCTTACTCTCATCAGCTTAATGTACCTTATAGCCTCTTATCACAGTCATATGATCTGACCACTCTCCATTCAACACATTCACTTCCACGTCTGTGCCTTTCACTCTTTCACTCTTTCATTCTTTCTCCAGGGCCTCCCTCTTCTTTAATAATATCTCACTCTTCCACGTCTGTGCCTTTCACTCTTTCACTCTTTCATTCTTTCTCCAGGGCCTCCCTCTTCTTTAATAATATCTCACTCTTTCTTCAAAAAGCAACCAATTAGTCATCTTTTTCAAGTCCTGTCTTTACTTACTTTTCATTTGGCACTTCTTAACAGATGTTAACTCTTAATTTACACTTAAATTTCATTAGTACGCTAAATTTCGTTAGTATTTTCGCATTTGCAGATTGAACTCCACTGTTTGACATGGACAAGGATGATATACATATATGCTGATGATGCTTATAGACAAATAACGTGTTCTCATTCTCTTGTGCGCCTTCAGAGTTCATAACCACAACGCACAACATGCAGAAAATATTTGACCTATGTGATGTATTACTTATCCAGGAATATTTTAGTTTATTTTCATCCCACCTTTTTGCAACAATGCTTAGCCTACAAAGATGTATATAATGTAGTAAAAGAGAATACATTATACATACGTACCTGAGAAAAGTAGAGTCAAGAAATAAGTTCTGGCAGAAATATGTACCAGCAAAGTTCTATAAACTTGCTAAGAGGCAACCACAAATTTGACCGTGAGCTTTCTAGCAGTCAATGTGTAGAGGAAATCCCATGCATAAGCAGACAAATTTCTCAAGAGTAGCATATTGAATTAGCATTTCTTATACTATAGCCAACCACATTCATAAGGATGTAACTATTTGTAGACCCATATTCCTAGGCCATTTCTGCTTTTGAACCTCTAAACCCTGAAAAGGAGCTGACTGTGACAGAAGAATATTAAAAGAATTGGAACATGTTTTGGAACAGAACACCCTTATCTTCTGGGCATTCACCTGAAAGCAAGCCAACCAAGACCAATTGCTTGTAATCATAGTGAACTAAGTAGTTTCCCAATATTCAATTGACTCTAAGGAAGAATGATCCGATAAACAATGATCTTTGTAATTTTAAAGTGAAAGGATATTTGCATGAAAATAGGAACCTTATTTTTAACCTACTGCTTAATGTTCATTCAACTTGTGTGGCCTTTCTTGTAGATTATAAAACAGGCTCAGTATTCTTTGCTAGACATGGCAGAAACTGTTTATCTGTTTATCACATTATACATTGCTCCTCTTTACACACCGAGAGAATTCTGATTGTGTTCGGAGAGCTAATATATCAGCTAAAGATACTTGCTTTGCAGTTGGGATAGACACATGGCATGGTTCTGTCCACTAAAAAGTAAGAGAAGATTTATGGGAAAGTCTTCACTTTACTGATACAGATATTGCTCCTGGTGCTCCTCTTGTCTTATTTATGTCTGGAATGTGGCTACGATGTCTGGAGAAGAAGCAGTAACTTTGTAGCCTCGAGGCCACAAGCATGAGGATGAAGGCCTATATCTGTGTTTTGGAGGATAAGGCAGAAAGGCTGTGGTCCCTCCCGATGGCAACTGTTGAGCCCTTGTATGAGTACTGGACTGCTGACCTCTGGACTTCAGTTGCTTTAAGATTTAGGTTTGAGTTGTGAAAGTACGTTAGCTATATAAGAGGCCTGTCCGGAAAATATCCAGCCATGTAATAGGAAAGATAGAGGCGTTTATTGAAGATGATACAAGAAACATTGTATCTTATATACATAGGACAATGATACCTCAGTCGCCTTCAAAAATAGGCATTTTCCATGCTTTTAGCTCTGTCTTCTCACTCAGGGATACTTATAATTCACATGTTAGCTCACTTTGCATAGTCTCTAAATGATTGCTCTGTTTTTTTTGTTCTCATCTCTGTCTCGTTAGATGATTGGGTTAGCTCAAGAGCCTATATTCAAGCTCTGAGATTCTTTCTTCTCCTTCTGAGATTCTTTCTTCTCCTTGATTTACTGTGCTGTTGAAACTTTCTGCTGTGTTGTAAAATTCCCTCAATAACTCTTACATTTCTTAAAGTTCAATTATATCCTTTTTTCTGTTATCTAGTTCTTTGGTGACTTTTTCATTAATTTCTTAAAATATTTTTTTTGGCTTATTTTTGTTGATTTTTAACTTTATCTTCAATTCCATTCATCTCATTTGCCATCCATATTCTGAATTCCTTTTCTGTCATTTTGACAATATCCTTGTAGTTGGAGTTCACTGCTGTAGCTCCATTGTGATCCTTTGGGGTTATTGATGTGTTTTTATTTTTCATGTTGCCAGGATTTTTTTTTGGTGATTCCTTCTCATGTGAAACCTCTTTTCTCAACTCAGGGCTAATAGTTTGCAGGGCACCTGTTCCTTGCTGGGAACTCTCCTAGTTGATTAGAGTAAGGGGAGGTTCCTAGGTGGCATTCTTTTTTTTTTCCCCTACTCTAGAATGTTGATGTGGCAGATGAGGCATGTGTACACTAGAAGCCTGAAATGCAGATGTTCTGATTTGTTCTGTTTACCTGTGATTGCCTCTGCTCAAGCCTGCGCTGAATGCTGTTTCTGTTGGGTGTTGGGTTATTCATCAAATAGTTGCAGGATATTTCAGTTGGGAGCTGGGTGAGACCCTCTTCATTGAGGCTGGTATTGTAGAGATTGCTCTACCAGGGGTTTCCCTGCAGAGGTGACAACAGCAGCTGGGTGAGGCTATCTAGGTAGTTGCTGTGGTTTCCCAGCCATGGCATTGTTTGAACCAGGTTGCAGTGTACTGGTGGCTGAGGCTAGGGGGTCCCAGGCTAGGGGGTCCTGGAGGGCTTTGACTTTGAAAAGTTCCTCTAGCTCTGTGGTGGTGTTGGAGTCTGTGGAGTGGTGTCTTGAGGTCTAGATGCAGCATGGAGTCTTGGAATGGTGCTCAGGCCTGCGAGGGCTCTGAGGCTCAGAGGCAAAGCTCAGCTCTGGCACGAGAGTCTCAGAGCTGGGACTGGGGAGGAGCTGGAGAAGAGGCAATCTAAGCAGAGCCGTGCAGGTGGCAGCGCTGATCTGACCTGGTGGGCAGGTCAAAGCTGAGGAAAGGAGCACAGGGGCCTGGAGGGCGGAGTCAGGCCAAGCAAGCCGTTTGCTCTTCTGGAGCGCTCTGGAACTGTGCAGATGCCACGTCAGGTGGCAGAGGTCAGTTCCAGTGGCCAGCAGAGTTCCTCTTGTCCCACCAGACTGCGAAGTAGTCGCTCAAGTCTCTCAGGTTGGAGCCTGCTGCACTGCAGTCAATTCCTTGTGCTCAGAGCATTCCTGTGCTTTGAGCTCAGAGATTTGTGTGTTCAATTTGATTTACAAAGCATCCAATCAGCAACAAGCTTTAACATCCAATCAACAACAAGCTGAACATCCACATCACAACAAGCTTTACATCCAATCAGTAGTGAGTTCAGCTTGGGCCCTGGGGTGGGGTTTTCCTATCAGTGGTGGTGCTGTGACTCTGCACAGCTCCAGGCAGGTCACCGTGGGGACCAAGTAGAGGTTTTGGCAGTGGAGGGAGGCATCTCACAATTCACACCGCACCTACAGGGTGATTGTGGTGTCCCAGCACTCTCTCGTCCTGTTCTTTCTTTCCCACATGTTCTCTCATCGTGCTGGTGAATACTGCCCTGTCACTCTTTTGTTTGTTGTTTCCACACTGAGTGTCCCACATTGTTCTCTGTGATTTCACAGTGTCAGTTCAGAGAAGAACGATCCGTATGTAGCAGCTGCCTGCATTTTTCCTTCTTTCCTTGGGAGTGTGTGTGCTGGCAGGCTGCTTCTACGGCCTGGACTATTTTTTTCAAGTTGGAATTCAGGTTTCACTGGAGTGAGGAAAGGTTTAGGGATAAGAGTGAAGGGAGAGCAGCTGACGACAGTAGGATAGAAAAATAGTACTTCAATGAACTCCAAGGACAAGGAGGCCCAGATGTGCAAGCACATACCTAGTGACTCTGAGATTTCTTGAGTAATAGGCTAAATCAGTAAGCAACTAAGAAAAAGAGAGTGTTATCACAATCTACTATGTTTACTATATTTGGATATCTAGTAAACGTCCATATTATTATGTATCTGGTCATTTAGAAGTCTTTGGGTGTTTGATTATGTTTGTGTTTCTGTTGAATTTTGCTCTAACTGTTGTACTGGCTTATTTTTGTGTTTTAGATACGATCTCTGAAACTTTATTTTTGAGAATTTTTGAGATCTGAGTGAAAGGTAAGTTTCTCCCATGAAGAGTTGTATTTACTTCTGATAGGTCCTGGGAGCACAACCGATCCTAAAACATGAGTAATAAATATGAAGCTTAATAGACTTTTGGCACCACAAATGAAAGTGTGAACTGGTGTTACCATCTCTTGTGGGGGTTGGTGTGTAACAACCCATTCTCAGGGGAAGTTTTTCTTTTCCTCCAGCTAGCTCTAAATTTAGGACAAGAGGGTTTCCTTGTCTTACCCTTTTGTGGAGGAGATTCACCCTTTCACTTCCCACTGTGCTATTTGCAGCCCCAGAGTTCTAGAACTATTCTGGTGTCAAGGGAAGTCTCTAGTTTTTCCTTCGGAAGCTCCATGTCACTGGATTTTGACCTTTGCCCTTAGGGCAAAACTGGGTTTGGTACTGGCATATATCTCTAGCTTCCTGTTTTCCATTCAGCTTCTGCTTTTAAATATTATTTTTTTTAAAAAAAGTTATGTATTGTGTGTAGTTATATTAAAAAGGACTGCAGTTCTGAAACCCTTAGACTTTATGTCAGGCCCTTTATTTGTTTTGTAAAAAAATATGTTGCTGGACTGGTTCATACAATTAAAATGAGCTTTTGTAGCACAGACTTTAAATTAGAAATTCTGAGTCATGTAGTAGACACTAATTTAAATAGCAGAAGGTGAAATTGTTCACTTCTAGCTTATTTGTTATGTGATGTGTTCACAGTAATTTAAATCTTGACTGTATTCTTCTGTTAGTCACATTCCCAAAGTTGAGAAAATAGTGCTATATAACTCATCCATATTCTCAGCAAAGTACTATGGTTTTAATAAGGGCAATTTAATCATTAAATATAAAATTGGCATGAAATGGCAGAGCAGTCTTTGTTAACTTGTTTCTGTGATAAAAACAGACATGCACTCTGGGACTGTCCATCTGGCACCTTTGGTGACAAATTAAAACTTGATTTTTAATTATCTCAATACCATTAACAATTATTTCTATCCAAAGATAATGTAACTTCTTTTCAAATTTATAGTTTTCTTCCTCAGTGAATGTTGTTGTCTCAAATTAATTTATCTCATTTAGCTGCATATGAGAAGAAATTATCTAAATTTTCATTTCTTGTGTTTTGCATATCTTTTAACACATTAATACTTGTCTTAGTCTGTTTGTTTTGGGCTCCCATGACAAAACCCCATAGACTGGGTAGCTTATAAACAACAGAAATTTATTTCTCTCAGTTCTGGAGGTGGGATGTCCAAAATCAAGGCAATGGCAGATTTGGTGTCTAGTGAGGGCCTGTTTTCTGGTTCATAGATGGTGCCTTTACACTGTGTCCTCATAGGGTGGAAAATGACAAAGCAGTTCTCTGTGTCCTCTTCTTATAAGGCACTATTCCCATTTATGAAGGTTCTACCTTCATGACTTGATTACTTGCCAACTGCCCCACCTCCTAATGCCATTACATTGGTGATTAGGTTTCAATGCATGAAATTTGGGGGACACAAACATTCAGACTATAGTAGTACCTAAATGCCCCCAGACATTAAAAAAATTCAAAACATTAGAAAATAAATATGATTAGATAGATTTTTTTTCCAAGTTCTTTCTGTTCTCCCAGATCATCAGAATGACTGGTGATAAAGTGGTGGGTCAATGTAGACAGAAATTACCCCATTCATTACCATTCAAACTGATATGAACTGCCACTGAACCATACTCTTTTTAGTATCTTATACCTATTTTTATCTTTATAGGTTGAATTCCTTTTTTCTTTTTGGAATCTGAATTATTCTTGTGGTTACAATTTCATATTTATAGAGAATATTATTTTCTTTGTAAAGCTGATTATCAAGGCTTTCTTTTCTTTTTTCTTTTTTCTTTTTCCCATAGCTGCAGTTGAGCATGCCTGCACAGACAATAGTAAATAATCAACAATAGATAAAAAAATGTATAAATGGGAATATAATGTATCGACCAACATCAAACTAACTCAAGAGCAGTTTTCTTTTCTTGGCATTGATCTGAGGGATTTAACATTTGGATAATGATGGCACCTTTGACTTTTGGCTCTAGGCCCACAGAGCAAATGCATCTTCCATTAGAGGCCATTCAAACTGCAGTTGACCCACACCAGTGCTGGCCACCAGGTGGCAGATATACTAGTTTTCATGGTAATTGAAAAAAAAATGGAGCAATTTTATTTAATCATATGTTGACATCAATGAACTAATAGCATTAAAACCTTAGGTTATTAAGTAGTTTTACTTTTTTGGTGTGTGTATGTGTGTATAGACTTTAATAGAACTAGATATTTGGAATCCTTGTCCATATGCGCACTTCCTATTGCCACTTAAATGCACATACTCAAATTTTAAAAGGGAACTTTTTTGTAACCATTCCAGATTTTGGTTAGTTGATTGAGTCAGTGCAAAACCAAATATGGGCATGTCTATGTTGCCATTGGGTACCCCAGAACAATGAAGAGTGAGAAGGATCTTTCATGGAGAGGAGTTCAAAAGCATTGCCAAGGGAGAGAGAAAGGGTGACAATATTTTCCATAACTTGGTTCTCCCATTCTTAGTAACCTGAAAATTGTTACTTTTCTTCAACCTGAAAATTGTTTCTGAGGAGGAACTTTGTTGCTTTTCGTTGCAATTAGGGAAAAGGAGGTAGTGGCATTCAAATAATGCTTGACAGCCTGGGTAACAAGCACCAACCATCTGTGCTATAGCAGCACTGTTTGTATTTTTAATGTTTGCACATACAGCAAAGATAATTAAAAATAACTATAATTAAAAATGATTACAACAAATTACTTTTCCCTCAACAGTAATATGTGTCTGTAACTTATAAGTTACTTACTAAAGTAACCTTTATGGAGTTTAACAAGAAAACATTACAATTCCTGCCTTGTTTCTGAAAGTTTATAGATTTGGGGGAGGGGAGATTTTTCCAACCGTGAAATCATTTGTTTTATTATACTTCACAAACATTTGAAAGTACAGGAATTATCTCTGTATTAATAATATAGGGCATTTTTTTCCTCAGAAGCAAAGATTAAATGTAATTTCTTTCTCCAAATGAAGAATGCAAAATGACTACGACAGGGTGAAAAGAATTAGCTCCCTGCACAGTCCTGCCTTTAAATAATTAATTATTTTTCAAAATGTCATATGAAATATGGCAAGGCCATTTACTTCAGGAACAATCATCTTCCTGCCTCTTCAAGAATTTTGGAACCTTTGAATATCTTCAGAAAACCTCTACAGAAGATGCTGGTTAGCAGCAGAAGTTGAATAGTCTGTCCCAGGGGAAGTGTAGAGAAGTCGACATAATCTTTGTGGGAGAGTTTGGGATTAAGCCAGGAAGCACATTGTAGAGGTTCAGGGCATGGCCCTGGGACACAGACTGCCTGGATTCTGATTCTGTCTGATTTCCTGGAGGTGTAGGGGCTGAATGAGGCTGGGAGACAGGTTAACATCTTTGTAGAATATTCAACAATATTTTAAACTGAGTGTCTTATTAGGAAACTAAAGGACCTGTAAGTCTCATAAGTGGGTAGACTTAAGCCCTTTCACATCTTAGAAAGTATTGTCCCATGTGATGGTTATCCTGGCTCAGGTCATGCCTCTTTATGTAAATCACCTCTGCTCCCTTGAGTACTTCTTTGAGCTTCTAGAAAACTCAGGTATAAGTCTACTTTATGATATTCACACTGTGGTGCCTGACAATGGCCACCACACCCCTGCCAAGCTTGGGGGCCTGTCTTTCTCTGCTGTTGTTGCTCCACGGTTCCCACCAGCCATGACAATTTCCTGTTGGAAGCAGACCTGACCCTCCAGGATACCAAAGTTGTATTCTATTCATGCTCATACTCCTTGTAAAAGGACTCTATGTTTTGTTGTCTGGGGTTTTTGTTTGTTTGTTTGTTTGTTTGTTGTTTTTCTTTATAAATCTTTCTATCCTTCAACCCAGGCATGAATCTGGGGAATAAGGACAGATACAACTCTATTTCTCTCTGAATGCTGACTCTTCCCAACAGGTACGTACCTGTTACATAACTGTTCCACTTTATCAGGGCAGTCTCTTCTTCTCTAGGATGCATTCTCTCCTGGGAGGTTTCCCTGCTGTTCAGTTTCCCTTGAAAATAGGTTTCTGTCAGGCTACCCTGCTGTTTGTCAATCACGTCCATGTGTGTCTGAACCCCAGTAAAAGTCATACCTAAATGCTCTTCCAGAGCTTTCTTAATCTCATAAATCAGTTTGCTTTAGATCAGACACACCAGTTCATTCAAGATGCCCAGACATGCTACTTAAATATATTACCAGTTAAAAAAAATTTTAAACCATGTTTTGATTACAAGTACTCTGTCTTTAAAATTTTTTGAATAATGTATACCAGAGCTATTTCACAAAATGATTCAAGTAAATTCAATGGTTCAAGTAAATTTGGGCAATCCTTGATATTCTTCTTTTCTGTTTACCTTCTACTGAGCACTTCTGTTCTTTCTCTTCTCTTTTCTTTCTCTCTACATTGATTTTTACTCTTAAGCATGCCATTTTAATGGGAAAGTGCATTAGAAAATTAGTCCAGATTTTTTTCTCAAAATTATATAAATCAGGATAGCCCTTGAAGCCTCATTTTAAACAAATTTTAATGCCTCATTTTAAAAAAAATTGGCTGAGCGCTGTGGCTCATGCCTATAATGCTAGCACTCTGGGGGATGGGCAGGGTGAGAAGATGGCTTGAGGCTCAGGAGTTCAAGACCAGCCTGAGGAAGAGCAAGACCAGTCTCTACTAAAAAATAGAAAAATTAGCCGGGCATCCTAGTGCATGCCTATAGTCCCAGCTACTTGGGAGGCTGAGGCAGGAGGATTGCAGGAGCCCAGGAGTTTGAGCCTGCAGTGAACTATGATGATGATTCTACTGCACTCTTCCCAGGTTGATAGAGTGAGATTCCGCCTCAAAATAATAATAATAATAATAATAATAATAATAATAATAATAATAATTAAGATGTGGAAAGCTATATATTATTACAGTTTATTATAATTTATAATTATACAAACAATAGAATAAATGTATTTTCATCACATGACTTTCCTATGTTAGTACTTAACACCCTCTCAATTTTCTTGGCTTAGTGTGAGTTCAGATGCTTTCACCTTTGATACTACTGGTGAAATAATAGAAGACAGCAAAGAAAAATGGAAATAGCATATTTAATATTTATTTGTGTGTGTGGTGTTATGAAGCTAACTGGTAAACATTTTGAGCTCTTCTACTTTCCCAGAGGGACTAAGTTGGGAGAGCAGGAAGGGAGCCTGTTATGACCCATTCACATGAACCTAAGGGTGATGATTTTCATTGTAATGGCAAATATGTTAAAGCACAGACATGGATGACTAGAGAAATATTGACGAATTGTAGGTCTCTATTTCATTTTATGAGAAAATTGTGTTATGAAATTAAGCATATTATATATTTACAACACCAAACCATAGTAATTAAGTTTTTTTTTTTTTTTTTTTGAGACAGAGTCTCACTTTGTTGCCCAGGCTAGAGTGAGTGCCGTGGCATCAGCCTAGCTCACAGCAACCTCAAACTCCTGGGCTCGAGTGATCCTTCTGCCTCAGCCTCCCGGGTAGCTGGGACTACAGGCATGCGCCACCATGCCCGGCTAATTTTATATATATATATCAGTTGGCCAATTAATTTCTTTCTATTTATAGTAGAGACGGGGTCTCGCTCTTGCTCAGGCTGGTTTTGAACTCCTGACCTTGAGCAATCCGCCCGCCTCGGCCTCCCAAGAGCTAGGATTACAGGCGTGAGCCACAGCGCCCGGCCAGTAATTAAGTTTTGTTTATTAAATGCTAATAGAGTCCTATGCTGCATAATCCATGTTTGTCTATTATGGATCACACATAAGACAATGACAGTATTTAGTATGGTAACATGCTTTACAGATTTGTAGTCTAGGAGCTGTAGGCTATCCTGTATAGCCTAAGTTTGCAGTAGGCTTTACCATCTAGGTTTGTGTAAGTATACTCTAAGATGTTTGCAAGATGACAAAATCACCTGACATTTCCCTTAGAACATACTCCCATCATTAAGTGATGCATGACTATAATTCAATAAGGTTAAATGATGTGTCTTGCTTCATATTAAATTATTTAATCTTCATATTATCGAGGTGGGACTGTGAGGCTCAGTATATTACATTAATAGAATTATAAAGCAAATAAAATCAAATGAGCACTGTTGTTATGTTGTGTCATGGGCACAAAATCATACCAAATATTTATATAATGAAATTCTTATCCACAAAGTGGCACACCCAGCCGAGGGCAAGTTCTGGAGCATGAAGAGCTGAATTTTGCTTGTTTCTTCTGAGAGTACTTCAAAATGGACAAGTCTGAATGACGATTGGCAAATCCAGGCAGGAGAAAGCCAACATCAGTCCCCAAAGAACCAGAGCCTTGGATTAGAGCCAAGAGGCTTGTATTTTGATGCAACACGAGTTGAGTCAACACAAAGGAATAGTCACTCAAGTGTGCAAGGTCACGAATAAGGTTGAGATTCCAGAAACTCTCTTTCCTTGTTACTGATTTTTGACCTGGTGGTGCGGAAACTGGTTTAAATGGCCTCATCAGCATGAGGCTGGAGAGCTATGGATGGTTAGATACTACTCTCGGGATAAAAGTGGTTGGCAAAACACTTTTTAGTGAAGATTTATTCAACAGATTATTTATTAAGTACCATGTATATACCAAGCACTATAGAATGTATTGGGGATACAACAGCGAATAAGACACTGTCTTTGCTCACACATGGAAATGAGAAATTATAATGTACCTGTTAAGTGCTACAGTGGGGGTCAGTACAAGGTACTGTGGGAACCCAAGGATTATAACCATTCTTGGTCTCTGATGGTCAGAAAAGACTTTCCAGATGCATAATATAAAGACAGAGCCCTTGAAATTGTATAAAATTAGCTAGGTGATGAAAGAAGTTAGCTTGTGCAAAGGTCCACAGTCTAGCATGCCTGGAGGTTAAATCTCAGGGAGCTAGAACAAGTGTGAAAAGAGATAGAATCTGGGATCATCAATCTCCTTTTCATATATTGGGTTTGTAGGTCAAGTTATTCTGCTGAGTTCATAAGAGACAGGAATTTTGTTGTATTACCTTATTCTTTCATAAATAAAGAACAAAGATTTTCAGTAGTTGCTAATACTTATATAATTCAAATAAGACACACACACACACACACACACACACATGCTGTTTTAAGTGTGCATAGGAAAAGTTATGTTTTAAGTATAGGATAGAGTTCACATTAGAGAATCACTGATATTTTTGCTCTGGTAAGCTACATTATACATGGCTGAGGAAGGTTTCCTTCAGACAGTGGACATGATGAACTCGTGTACTTGTAGGAACTTTGTCTATAGGTGTCCTATCAAGAAGTTCATGTGTTGAGAGTTATCGTTATGGGACTTAGCTACTTTTAATAGAATGTGGAAATTTGAACTTAATAAAAAAAAAATGACATGAAAATACCAACTTTTCCACATTTATTTTAAAATTTTCCTCCCTGAAAATGTTTGCAAATCTATGATTGATCGTTATAACAGGATGTTGACTCAGGATTGACAATGATATAAATTCAAAACCCAAATAAAAAACCTGCCAATATTTTTTCTCTTTGACCATATTTCAAGTGGAATGTGTTTAAAAATCATGTTAAAAATTAATAAACAAAACTCTATTTAAAACAATTTGGGTTTAGGATAGAAAAATGACAATATGATAGAATGTCAAATCTAGATTAATGAATAAATAAAAGATAAAAAATGTACAGAAACAGATGACAGACTAGAGAGTAAAATTTGAGAATGGAAGAAAATAATTCAGTTGTGTTTTTAATGTTTCTAAATATTCTTCCCTTAAAGGGATTATCTTCTCACCAAAAAGAAATCATATCAAAAAGATACCTGCACTCATAAGTTTTTTGCAGCAATATTTACAGCACTATTTTGCAGCACTATTAGCAAAGATATGGAATCAACCTAAGTGTCCATCAACAGATAACTGGATAAAGAAAATGTGGTATGTAGACATAATGGAATACTATTCAGCCATAAAAATTAATTAAATCGTGCATTTTGCAAGCAAAAAATGGATGAAACTAGAGACTATTATTGTAAGTGAAATAAGTCAGATGCAAAAAGAAAAATTTAGCTCTCACTTGTGTGGGAGCTAAATAATGTGTACACATGGACATAGAGAGTGGAATGAAAGACAATGTAGATTTGAAAGGAAGAGGAGTTGGGAAGGGGATGAATGATAAGAAATTACTTGAGGGATACAATGTATGTTATTCGAGTGATGGATACACTAAAAGCCCTAAGGGCACCACTACAAAATCCATGCAAATAAAAAATTACACTTATAAATAAAATATTTTTAGGAAGTTCTAGCCAGAGCAATCAGACTAGAGAAGGGATTCAAGGGTATCCAAATGGGGGCAATTCAAACTATAGAACTTTGCTGATGATATGATCATATAATCTCATATTTAGAAAACCCACAAAGATTCTGCCAAGAGACTACTGGAATTGATAAATAAATTCAGCAAAGTCTCGGGTTACAAAATCAACGTACACAAATTAGTAGCATTCGTATATGCCAACAACAGTCAAGCTGAGAACCTAATCAAAGACTCAATACCTTCCACAATAGAAATAAAGAAAATAAATTACCTAGTAACATGTTTAACTAAAGAGGTGAAAGACCTCTAAAGGGAGAATGGCAAAAAACTGAGGAAGGAAATATCAGAGGACATAAACAGATGGGAAAACATACCATGGTCATGGATCAGCAGACTCAACATTGATAAAATGTCTATCCTACCCAAAGTGATCTACAGATTTTAAAACATTTTTTTTTAAATAGGACATTTATACATGCTAATGACAGCAGACTGTGTTTGTCTGTTTGAACAAGCAAATATAGTCATTTTAGGATTTGTCCTTTCATGTGACTAGGGGAAAGTAAAGTGTACAGAAAAACATAGTTGTCTCTAAGTAGTAGAAAGTACAACTTAAAAGAGATATATTGTCTCAGTTTATTTCCTGTGACAAGAGATCTATGGTATTAAAAATATATCAGAAGAAATTATAATATTTGCACATTTTTCCAAATATGGATTTGCTTTCAAGAGCAGTTTAATTCAGTCTGGTAAAGAGCTTGCCACGGTATTGACAAGAAAGTAAGGGCAGAGGTTCTCAGTATCCAGGCCACAGCAATAAGTTTCCATTACGTACCTGCTCTTACATGAAGCTTTGAGATCACTCTGCTAAGGAAACTTTAAAATTTCCCTTTAGTAATTTATCTATTTATTTATCTGGAGATTGGAAATGAAGGTGGTTTAAGGAAAAGAGTAATGGAAGAAAGTGGAATTCCAAAACTAGCAAATCACATCATATATTTATGCTCCTTGGAACACAGATTTAATTTTATGAGTATTATAAATATGTCTATTGATACAGTAATGAAACTGATTTTTTAAACAAATCATAGTAGAACTTATATATTCAAAGAATGTTATACTTCGAAGTATTCCCCCTGGGAATGCATACATTTATTATAAATATGCTGCTATTTTGCAAACCACATTTATAATCACTGTTTTGAGATTATTTTTCAAAAAAAAATTACTATTTTACCATCCACACAAGAAAATTCATCTTTTTATGTTATAATTAAATCACACATTATAGAAAGCAAATGTCTTATTATCCAGCGTTATCACTATATCTTCATGTCCAATCTTGGCTATAAAATATGTCTCATTGTTACAAAAAAATCAAAAATACAGTCAAAAGATTAAGACTTATCTCTAATGAGTATATCTTTGGTAAGTGAATAAATTCATGAAATAGTAAGTTTGAAAGTATATATTTTCAGTTCAAAACATAATTTTTTTAGTAGGGTAAGGCATTTTTACTTAGAGACAGGGTCTGGCACAGGCCAGAGTGCAGTGGTTATTCACAGGCACAATGACAGTGCACTGCTGCCTCAAACTCCTGGCCTCAAGTGATGTCCCTGGCTCAGTCTCCAGGTAGCTGGGACCACAGGCAGGTGCCACTGTGCCTGGCCTCAGAAGATAATTTTAAGAGTTTCAAACTGATCAGTCTTGGCACCAGTAGAATAAGTTTGCAACCTCTGGACTTAGCCATCTAAAATGGAACTAGATTCATTTGCAAGAATAAGTGCTTCTGTGCTTGTTCAAAAAACATCATCTCGCTTTATAGGCACACTGTGTAAATAGAAAACAGTGCTATACACATAAAAATGAGTATAACGAGTGTGTCCTTTTACAAAAAGGAAGCAATTATACTCAGTAGTAAGTAATTATTTTAGTGAAAAGTACATTTGCTTTTCAATTTTGTTCCATACTAGAGTTTAAGCTGAAAGAGACCTTAGAGACCAGTTAGTACAACCCACTTAGTGTTTCATAGGAGAGGAAAATGTGGCCCACAGAAACTGAAGCTAGGTGACTTCTTTGAGGTTACTTAGTTAGTGGTAAGTCCTGAACAAGAATTTCAGTTACTTGACCATTGATACAAGATTCTTCTCATTACTTCCTGGTGTGTCCCAAGTAGAATCTGTTTCATATGAGACTTACATAATCCAAGGCAATTTTTAAATGTTAAATTATAGAATATGTTAATGTGTCTTTTGTGGACTTTAAAAAGATAAAGCAGTGCTGTTAACTTTGTTTTACATGCCAAGAACACTATACTTTTTAAAAGTCACACGTGGGTGATTCAGAAATGTGGAACACTTAAGAAAAAGTCTAGTTTCTTTTTCATCAGTTGAACTGCTTTGTTTTATTATTTCACTCAGACTGAACAGTGAAATCAGTGTTCATTTCCAATTTTATTCACTGATTTTTTACCCTGAGACTAGTACTTGCTGAGTGTTTTTGAGTTATTTTTTCATAGCCAGTATTTTATTCTATTTTTTTGAAAATCTTTACGAAATATTTCAGAAAAACTTGTGTTTTCTCTTTGCATTTTCAAGTTGACCATCTTTTACAAAGATGTATTTAAAACACTCAAAATCATGAGTAATGTTGTTAGTCTTTTTGGGATGCTGGACCAAAATACTTTAGACTGGGTAATTTATAAACAAAAGAAATTTATTTCTTGCAATTCTGGAGGTTGGGAAGTCCAAGATCAAAGTGCCAGCAGAGATCCAGCACTTCAAGGATCTGAAAGGATCTGAGCCATATTCAAATAACCTTGCATTCCAAATTTTAGCCCTCAGAGGGGTGTGGTGGCTCACACTTGTAATCCTAATACTTTGGGAGCCTAAGGCAGGAAGATTGCTTGAGGCCAGGAGTTCCTGACCAGTTCAAGATTAACACAGTGAGACCCTGTCTTTAAAAAAAAAATTTTTTTCAAGATGAAGTTTAGTCTTCAAGAATTACTGATGAACTCATGAGCCACTATTGAATCACTTTGAGTTTGTTGGTCTGGTTTTGAGTTTTCTGTTTGTTCTTGGCACCTGAAGATTTCCTTTCCTTTATTTTTGTACTTGACTTCATATTTAACAACTTTTTACATTATATTTCTTTTAGTGTTTTTCTATATAATGGAGTAGGATATCTCTTTAGCAGCTTGGTTTTCTATATTTCTGGAAATTTGTTCTTAGGTGACTCTCATGTTCACTTAAAAATTACAACCATTGATGGGGTAATTTAATGGTCTAACATAATCAGTTGTGTACTATTTATAACATAGCAACATAGTATAAAGGCAGTTGTTTGAATTTCTATGTGTTCCTTAATGTGGAGAATTTTTTTTTCATATCGGTGTCTTGCATCAATGGAGGAGATAGACAAATAGAAGACATAAATCATTCAAATGACCAAGATGTGGCCGGAAATGTCTGATGAGTAAACACATAAGGAGTCAGTTCTCAGAAGTCAAAAAACCCCAGAACTTTAGCAAGAGTGGTAAACAGAATCAAATGTCACACAGTACTCAGGTTTTATAAGGACAGAAAATTGTGTATTTCATTTGAAATATGCAGACCATTGGCCACTGTTGACTTTAGCAATAAAAGGTTTGTTGTAGTTGTGGGAGCAA